GACGAAATGCAGAGTCTTCTAAACACCTTGAGCCGCAATCTACGAATGTTTGGCATGCGATTCGCTCCCGCCAAATGCAAGATGATGTTACAGTGGACTACATCGACGCCTAGTTTAGAAATAGGAAGTGAAGTGGTAGAGCACGTTGACCGCTTCACTTATTTGGGAAGTACCATCAGCCCCAACGGGCTGATCTCTGACGAAATCTCAGCACGAATACAAGGGGCTCGTTTCGCATTTGTTAGTTTACGCGACTCTGGCGTAGACGAGATGTTCGACTATCGACCAAAGGGCAGGTGTACTGCTCATCAGTCCGCTCCGTCCTCCTTTATGGTTGTGAGCGAAACCTGGCCACTGAGAGTGGAAGACATGAAAAGACTAGCTGTCTTTGATCATAGGTGCCTGCGCTCTATTTCCCGTGTAAAGTGGCATAATAAGGTGAGCAACATGGAGGTTAGGCGTAGAGTTCTAGGTAAACAGGGGAAATCAATCGACGAAGTCGTGAAGCTACAAAGACTGAGATGGTTAGGACATGTGTTACGTATGCCAAGCCATCGCCTCCCTCGACGAGCTATGTTAGCGGATATAGGGTCAGGCTGGAAAAAAGCTAGCGGCGGTCAAACAAAAACTTGGCCTCAGTCAATGAAATCCACAACAGTTGGTCTAAGCCACGTAGGAAGGTGTAGACTTCCAGGCTGGGGTCCTCGGGACGGTAAAAATCTATGGTTGGAAACAATTGGTGACATGGCTCAAAACCGTTCTCAGTGGCGCAGATGCATCCACTCCCTGTGACTTATGATCTTCAATGAAACTGTTTTGTTCTTCGTTATTCTCCTTTGTCTCACCCTCTGCTCACTGTCTCTTATGCTTTTCTTGTACTTTCTTCTCTTGCTTCGCGTGCTACACGGAATGTGGCGACTTGAACTTCCGCACATTTGTGCAAAGTTCTATGTCGAAAACAGACAGACAGACAGACCACTGAGGGTAAGTTGGGATGTACAATTGTTGGGGTCGAACTTTTCTAACCCCTTCTCTCCAGAGTGGAAAACAGCATAGCTGGTATGCTGGTCATCTGAGGGAAACGCTTTACTACGGTTACATCCCTGTTCCCCACCAGTACGACTTCGCCCACAGACCCCCAGCATAGTGTAAGAAAGATTCTTACACAATGCCGGTAACTGCTTTTAGTCTAATCGCTATCTTAACAACCTTCCTGGCATGGTAGGACCTGCAGAACAATAGTTCCAGCCAGTGTAGCTTGTTGGGTCATTGAGATTCGCAAGCCTAACCACTACGTCAAGGTAGCAGCTATCGGTCGTGGCTTGAGATCCTATGGTCCTTAATCATAAATACATCAAGTATGAGTATGAAAATATCTCAAGGAAAATGATGAGTCGACTAAACCTTCACTTTTCGATGGTTTCTCGAACGCATATACTTACTGATGTCTGAAAATCAACATTCTTCTTGATCTAAAGGCGGTGCTGGATTGTGTCACTCAAAAAGTGTTGTGGAAATGTCCGACCGAGTGGGGAATGTTTAATAAGTTTATATTGCCAATTGAGGAAGTTTACTCGAATCTACACAACTGTGTGAAAATTTGCGGAGTTTTCGCCGGATAGGGACAGCAACCAGTGGTACTCATTACGGATGTCCAGCATCACTATTCTCATCTAATTAAATCATAAATGCACTAATAGATATCACCCTGGTGTACTTTGATGCCAAAAGAATTGACTTGCTATGAGGAAATTACTGGATTTAAATTGTGTAATCTACATAGTCCCTTGAGGTAAGGGAGATGACAAAATGTGGAATCTTTTGAACATGAAGGGAAAAAAGGAATACTTTTGGCATGTAAGACGATGCTACATGATTGGTTTGCACTGAAAATAGGAATTGAAATGACAAAAAGTATTGATCATTTGACTTTTTTGAGTTATTTGATGACTTTGCTCTCAATATCTCAAAGCCAGAACTCCACCCTAACTGCTTCGTATGGTTAATACTATTAGCCCTCAAAAGTGTGGCTTTTAGTAGGACATATGGGAAATCTGTTTTGGATAATTGGGTTATGACAATTAACATACCTCGGGCATGTTAAGAATCAGTGACTGGGGACTCTTAATGAACCGGACTGCTTAGTGGTGTAAGTGTATTCACTTCTCATAGTCTTCAACATAATAAGGAGCGCTACCAGTATTCATTTTATGTTGTTTGTCTATCACATAAGCATTCCACTTGCTCTTATTTAATGTTCGTTTTCCAAATGTGATAGCCTGAACTGATGCAGTTCTTCGGTAAGTTTTACAGTAAACTGCTCACAAAGTAGTTCTACTGAGAGCAACTAGTGCTACGAAGCTTTACATACTTTGTTACCTTTAATAGTCATACTTCAAAGCAGGGTACGACAGAGCGCATAAGTGAGCAATAAGTTTAATTGTTGATACTCAGACAGGTACCTCTCTTGTAATTTAGGTAGCAAAAGTTTTTGTAAGGCGAATGAACTCCGGAGAGTGAATAAAACGCTTCCTGATGATGAATTCCACACATCGAAAAGGTCCTACAGTCACGAAAAGTACCAAAACTAAAGACGTGAATTCCTTGTTACACTACATGACAAGCTTTATGCCCTAACTAAATTACTTCTAAATTACACAGTACTGGTGACAAATCTCAGTCTTGTCAGAAAACCAATAGTCAAGGTACTACAAACAGGTGCACACCCGAATAGTTTTAGACACCCTAAGTGTGATGCCATACCGAATTCAATACTTGTTCCTGAAGGTCTCATTATCACAAACTTTATAATAATAATAATAAGCGAATTAGCGTTTGTGTCCAAGGTTATGGGGCCCATTTGATGTAACATAAAAGCTCAAATAAGCTTTGTATGCCTGACTCATCGCGTAAAAGTTGATTACCTTAGTCAATGGCTGACGACGATTACTGCAAAGAAACAGTTACTTCGGAAGGATGTAGAACTACTTTCGAACAGCAAACATAGCACCAAGTATTCCGATACTTTGGTGAAGTTAGTAGATGTGTTAGCAGACAAGTCTTATTTCTGATTTGATGAAACTTCCAGGAACACCAAAAGCAGTTAAAAAAGGGCAACTGCTCTTAGTTGCTATTGATGTTCTATCCTGAAATAACGATTATCATTAATTACATGAGAATCACATTCTAAACGCCGCGAATCGTTTAAAGGACCATCGCCAGAGTCCTTATTTAGAAGCATATCACTAATACACGTTAATCTCACTAAAGTTTTTAGAAAAGTAGGTTTCTATAAAACTAAAAGGAACAAGTGATCTCTATAAGTGCATGTATTTTAAGTCTATATAACAAATACGATGAGCATAACAGATACTACAAAATACCAACACCTCATAATACTCAAATTTGGCCCTTACTGGATCATAAGTGCTTGGATATAGACAAGAGATTAAATCAGAGATAACCATCTGTATATTTTTGTCCCAGAAGCCTGTGAAGAGCAAATATTTGGTTGATACGACTAAGAACGAAATCTGTCTAGTCTTATTATGGTTAATGTATTCGAAATCCATTTAGACTCAAAGTCAGCATAAAAGTTGAAACAGAATGATTATAGGAGGCAGGCGCGACTACAGTGCTTAAATATCTGAACTACCGACAGCAGTGCCTCTCAAAATACCTCTAATGATGGGTCTGTTACCGCTCTTTATTTTAGGTAGTAGAATTTTGTCTAATCTAAGCGGAAATTGTATAACGAGGACCTACGAGGTAGCTCAAGGTTTATCTATCTAGTTCCAGAAATGTTTTAGTCTAATTGCCGACTGGAGTGAGATTAGTATCGATGAAGCTGAGGATCTACAAAGATACTGACCGCTAGTTTCATTTGTACAATGAAGTACGCACTTCTTCGTTAGGGTTTATCGAACAGGCATTAACAGTGACTGAAGGCTTTAAAGTTTATAGCACACAGCAGACGATTCCCCTGTATTTTCACAACTGCTAATTTTTATATTAGTCTTTTTGGTTTGTGCACTATTAGGCCGATGCAATGTGTTTCAACTCTTTTTGACATATGGTTATCGCTTTCTAGTTTGTTTATAACTCCTCTAAAGTGAAAACTAAGTGATCATCAACAGAAATGCAAAAGAGAGAAATATTTCACAATTTTTTCTCATGTCTGTAGAGTCACGTAGTGACTTATGCAAATTCCTCAGGCTGACCGGATGAAGATAAGCGAATATTCACAAGGATGCTACTTATAAATTCTACATAAGATATTAATTACCAATTCTCTATATTGGTAGATTTACTGCATGAAGTATAACAGATCTGTAATCATGAGCTTCTATGGATCGTTTAGGCTGTTGGTAATGACTACGGTGTCAAACTACATATTCTGGTTGGAACCTCGTGGGGACACGACAGTAGCGTTCCTTACGATACAACCTTCCTAACCACTACCTTCCGTAAAGAGTGAGAGGTGAGTGGAACTGTGACTCATCGTTTTAGACTAGCTTCCAACTAATGGGTTATAAAACTGAAATCTGCTTCAAATATTTAAGCGAGAATAGCTAATACAACCGCTAGGCTACTACGACAGTTTAGTCAGCGATTTCAGATTAGTGCAGGAAACTACAAATTTATGAGATTAAATTATCTGTCAGTCAATGGCAATCAAATAATAGTTGGAATAAATACTAAATAATCAAAATAGTCGAGTCCAATTTTCAGATACAAAAATATCGAAAATCTTCAAGATTATATCAAGACCAACTAAATGTGAAACCCTTATCACATAAAGCTAGTGAGTATTGTACTCATCTAGTCAAAATCCTCAAGGATGCAGGGTGCCTACGTTGCAAACTTGATTGAAACTTGTTTCAAGTGTCGCTTTGAATGCGATAAACGGTAACGGACTAGACCACAGCATATTAATGGGGAAAATGACCATAAGTGAAATGAACAAATGTCACTTTATTTAGCATATGAGCGTTTCTTACCATTGAATTTTAATATGCAGTTACAGTAAAATATAACGAATATATAAGGACCTGATTGCATTGAAGACGAACACATAATTAATTGATTAATCAAACTTCTTATTGTAAATTGATTTGAGGATACACTTCATAGTTTCCACGGAGATCAACAATCTTAGAGTAACTAGATGGATACAGGGATTCTATAGACACTGTACTAAGTAAAAACAAATTCCAACAAAACAACCTTTAATAAAGGTAAACTACACTTTGTCTGCAGGTAGAAAGTTGGAATACTACCTAAATTTTCTAATTTCAGTGTCCCAGTGTTAGGTTCACTTTCTGTATTAATCTGACTTGTAACTATTGGATACGAAGTGAAACATTGAAAACAGACAGATAATTACAACCAAATACTTAGGAACCCATCGTAAAATGGTCCACCAAAACATCTTGCAAAACTAGACAAAACAGTGAAACACCAGAGGAGCTCACAAAACGAACTGCTACATTTTTCAAGAAAGACAACCAACGCTCGACAGAATTCCAGGTTCTGTTTCCTGTACTTTATAGCACTTCTAATAGTAGCGTATAAGTTGCAGTACCGTCCCAAATAAAAAATTTGGGGGCGAAATGGTGCATGTCCCAGTTTTTTATTTGTGGCTGCCTCATAAGCTGTATCAATATATCAGCTATATGATTACGTTGATAATTCAAATCATTAGAACTTAAAAGCCTGCTATGCATTACCATTCCCTTAGCATACATGAAGAAAGTGAAATTTGTAACTGAATTTCCGTCAATCTGCGGTGGTACTTTAGACGCCTTAAGTCTTCTATTTAAATGTAGCTACGATAGAAACAATGGACCACCTTGAGTACATTTTGCTATGGGAGATTTCGTATTTCAGAAGCTATATGCTCGACAAACTGACAGCGTCATTCACTGATTGTAACTGTGATGAAGCCTAAAATAACGACATCGTCAGTATGATCAGATTATATTCAAAATTATTGAATAAACAATTAAGGCACGACACTTAGTAATTAATGAAGGCTAACAACTTTTCGGTTTAACGTCGTAAATTGCACTCACCATCGTAGTAATAGCACACTTTCTTAGCAACTGCTGACTCCATTACTGTTCAACTATCCTGGATGTGCAGTGTAGACCAGCAAAAACCAAACTTCGAACAATAAGTGATTGTTTTAAACAAGAGTGGACGAACATGTTCTAGATATTGTTTGCGAAGTGGTTTTGCATATGTGCAACATTCTCATCAGGAACAACGTCTACCTTAGGTAAATCTTCAGTCCATAAATAGTTCTCAGCTCAACTGTTTTGGGAAAGCCGGATTCCATTGTTATGTGTCGACAGACTGAACTTGATGTCGGATGTTCGGGTGCAAGTGGAATTAATACGTCGATAAATGCCTCTGTTTAAAATTTTGAATGGAGTTTACACAGTTTACCCATTGTAGTAATAACGTGAGAACCCTTGAAAGCATTTGGAGCTATGCTGCTACATAAGTCATAACACTGGCGTACCCTATATTAGAGTTACAAACCAACAATATGCTTGGCGATCGGCACTTCTGAAGTGAAGCTGTTCATGAACAAATCTGAACTTAGTTACAGATGAGTGTGTGTAATGTCTTTTGCAGGAGAGACTGATGGATAAAAGCTGGTGTTTGTACTCAATAAGTTGTGAGTAACCCAGTGGAATGCAAAGAAACACTTTCTCCTTAATTTCCAAGTAATCAAAGCTTATACTAAGTGTTTCTATTCTATACGAACGCTTTTTAAGGCCTTTGGGGTGTAGTGACAGAAATTTCAACAATACGCTACCAATCGAACATGAGAACTTTTTTGATGAGAATCCTTCAGTGTCCTTGAAAATATGTTCTCATAAGGTGAATTTTTATGTCAAGAAACCTTTGTATTAAATCCCAAACATGACGACTGCTGTGTGGAGACCGTAATACGCTGATGATCATGAATGGTATTGGTGAACGCAACGTATGTATAAAATTACACGGAACTCTGTCAGTCTAAATGTTGTCAAACTATTTTATCAGTACGCGTCATAAATGACTTACAAGAGTCACCACAACCCAACTTGTGCACGCAACAACGATGTTAAGCTGACATCTATTCATTAGAAAACTGATATAAGCCCATCGACAAATATAAATTGATTGGACTTTGTGTTTGAATGAACTAGTTCAATGTATCTCCATATCGTCCAATATTCTAAGGGCTTGTCCCTGGTATCCCAGGTCACCACAGTGTCAACGTATAATTTTCGATGCTAAAAAATGCGGATCTCTTTTTTCGGGGGAGTATCAATGTCAGTGAAATTTCTGTTGAATTGGCTGATATTAGCAATTAAAAGTTTGAGGTAACCAAGTGTACATTTTAAAAATAAACAAGCAGTCCAAACTGAAAGAATATCTATCTGATGTAATTATTTCCTTAAGTTGTTTATTTCAAAGTGTGTTACTTTCAGCCTTCAAGAACTGTAGTAGTGTGATGAGAGCAGGCTGCTAGCCGATTGGTTGACACTAATCTACGTTAATGTCTAGGTCACTAATATGGGCCGTGAGAAAATATGAACAAGGCTGTTTCAACAACCAATCACAGCAAACTTAAATGTGGACAAATATGATTCGCAGATAGATGGCTCTACTTTCCGAGAAATATCGAAAACAACCAATCATAAGACTGTGTTTGTCTGCTTAACTTCCGAGAAACAACCAATCAGAAGACTGCCTTTTTCTGCTTGCATAAGCCTTATTAATGTACATAAAATATATATAAATACGTGTTGATTTTCGTAATAAAACGATCTGTTGCCAGCCCTTGTCTTCTGTTGTTACATTTGGTGTCGCTGCCTCCAAAAATGAAGATCCCGTGGCCAGCTGCGTTTGAAGAAGGAGACATACGGAGCTTCTTACGTGACTTCGAGGCCGTTGCTGAGCTGGTGGGTGTCAAGGAGCAGGCGGCGAAGGCAGTTGTCCTGGGGACGCTGTTGAGAGGCCGAGCGAAGGCTGCATATGACAGCGTAGACAGGTCAAATGGCACAGCGTCTTGGAAGAAATTGGTTGAACGACTAGTGTCCGAGTTTGACAGCGAAACAGACAGACAGCTAGCAATGCAGCAGTTCCGGTCAATGAAGCTTGGACCTGATGGAGACCCGCTAGTGTTGGCGGTGAAACTGACTAATCTACTTCGACGCGCGCTTCCCACTTTAGATGAAGAATCAGAAGCGCAGTTACTGTCTTCCCAATTCATCGAGAGTGTCCCAGACCACATTTCTCAGCGATTAAAACTGGTTAACGCAACGCAGCCGATGGATATTAGTGAGCTGGCGAAGGTGACCAGACAGCTGCTGAGCACAACGGTAGCCGCTATAGACCAACCAAAACCAAACGAATATGAGCAGAAAATTGAAGCATTGCAGCGGGAAGTGGCGGCGTTAAAGTTGGCTGATAGAAAAGACCGGTGTTTTGAATGCGGTAAGCCGGGACACTGGAGAAGATACTGCCCAGAAAGGCGAAAAAGAAAAAATTTCAGACGGTATAATGCTTGTTCTTTCTTTCGTATGAACCTAGATTTAGTGGGGGCTATTGAGAAAGGGGCTCTGTATTCGAAGTTGCGAGTGAATGATCGAGAAGTAGTATGTTTGATAGATACAGGGGCGGCCGTGTCGTTAATAGATAAGAATTTATGTAAGAGTGTTAGTCCGTGTTCATTGACAGTACAAACAGTAGGCGGGTATGTGTTGCGTATCACGGGTAGATCGAACTGTACGGTCGTTGTTGGTGGCTGCGAGGTGACGTTTCCTTTCATTGTTGTACCCGAACTACAGCGAACGATATTAGGAGCGGATTTTCTGCGTGAGATTGGTGCAATAATCGACACGCAAGCGAACGTGGTGATCACGAAATACGGGCATATCAACATGTATGAGACCAGCGAGATAGCAGCGATTAAGCTGTCGACGGTACACAATGTGACAGAGTTAATTAATAAATACGATCATCTGTTCACTGGAGATGGGGACCCATACGGTTATTGCGATAAGGTGAATCATGAAATTCCGTTAAGTGATCCGAAAGTAAGGTCATTTTTAACGCGAAGAGTTCCATGTCATCTGGAAGGCGAAGTGGAGCGACAAGTGCAAGAGATGTTAAAAGATGATATTATTGAGGAAGCTGATAGCCCGTACAACTCTCCAGTGCTGTTAGTAAAAAAAGCGAATGGGAAGTATAGATTCTGTGTTGATTTTCGACAGTTAAACAGTATGACAGAGTTAAGACCGTGTGCCATGCCAACAGTGGTAGAAACTTAGATCGCCTACAAGGTGCGAATGTGTTTTCGGTTCTCGATCTTCGCTCAGGATACTGGCAGATACCGATAAAACAAGGTGATAGAGATAAGACGGCTTTCATCGTGGGTCAGACACAATATCGATTTAAACGCATGCCGTTTGGACTAGCAGGTGCACCGTTTACGTTCAGACGACTGATGAAGCTATTACTTAGGAACTTGAAAAACGTGGAGGTTTATGGTGATGATCTCGTCATATACAGTCAAAACGAAAACGATCACGTCAACCATGTAGAAGCCGTGCTGCGACGCATCGAAGAGTTTGGACTACGCGTCAACAAAACCAAGTCTCAGATAGCCAAAAAGAATGTTACTCTGTTGGGACATAAAGTGGGAAATGGTGAGATTAAACCACTGCCGGAGAAAATTTTGACGATTAAAACGATTCCAGCCCCGAATTCAAAGAGAAAACTGAGACAATTCTTGGGTAGAGCAGCGTTTTATAGTCGCTTCGTGAAGAACTTCAATGAGATAGCAGCCCCTCTATACAGGCTACTAGGTGAGCCAAAGTTTGTTTGGTCGGAAGAATCGCAGAGGACATTCGACAGAATTAAACAGCTGCTCGACCACCAACAAATGACGCTAAAACTACCTGTGCCAGGAAGACAGTTCACAGTGTGCACAGATGCCAGTGACTACGCTATAGGTGCGGTCCTAAGACAGGACGAGGGAATCGTTGAGTATGCCAGTAGGGTTTTGACCCTCACAGAGAGAAAGTATTCAACGATAGAGAAAGAATGTTTAGCAATGGTATGGGCAGTCGACAAATGGAGACCTTATTTACTCGGCCGGCGGTTCCACATCGAAACTGATCATAAGCCGCTACAATTTTTGAAGACAGCGAGAGACCCACGGGGGAAGTTGTCACGGTGGATGTTGCGTCTTCAGGAGTACGATTTTACGATCTCACACGTTCCTGGAAGTGAAAATGTCTTGGCAGATTTGTTATCGAGACCAGAAGATGAGTCTGAGTTGCCCGAGGTCGCTTACGGAGTGCATGCAGTAGAACAAGACCCACTAAGACTTGCACGTAGGCAGAGGTTGGACGATACGCTGAATACAGTAATACAGGTGATCACCAACGGAATAGAAGTGGATCAAACTACGGCGAGTAAGGAGCTAACCACACTACTCAGACAGAGGGATCGACTCAGAGTGAATGCCTACGGGA